GATTCGGCTAGTGAGCGAAGCGAGCAAGCAAGAATTTGAGGATAATATGTATTTTGTGAAAGTGTTATTTATCACCAAAATATACGAGAAAAGAAATAACAAATTCATATTAGGGCAGCTCGCTGTTCCCCTCCTTCCCCCCCCCCCCCCATTACGCGCGAAGCGCAGAAGCTTTAATGTTTCGTGAAATTATTAGAGAAAGAAGAGGATTCATTGCACCATTCTCGACTCCTAATTCTTGTCTGAATTTAGTTCCTCCCCCCGCGTGAAGCGCTAAAGCATTGACCTTTCATAGTTTAATGAAATTCTTAGAGAAAGAAGATAATTCGTTGTTCCATTCTCAACCCTCAATCCTTCTCTGAATTCAGGTTCCCCCTCCAGCGCAAAGCGCAGAAGCTTAACATTTCATTAAGTTATTAGAGAAAGAAGACGATTCGTTGTACCGTTCTCGATTCTTAATCATTGTCTGAATTCAGTTTCCATACCCCCTCCCGCGCAAAGCATGGAAGCTTTGACGTTTTATTAAATCATTAGAGAAAGAGTACCGTTCTCGACTCTTAATCCTTGTCTGAATTGAGCTCTCTCTCCCCCCCCCCCCTCTCCCGCGCGAAGCGCGGAAGCTTTGACGTTTCATTAAATCATTAGAGAAAGAGTACCATTCTCGACTCTTAATCCTTGTCTGAATTGAGTTCCCCCCCCCCCTCTCCCGCGAGAAGCGCGGAAGCTTTGACGTTTCATTAAATTATTAGAGAAAGAAGACGATTCGTTGTACCGTTCTGAGTTGTCAATCATTGTCTGAATTCTATTTCCCCCCTCCGCGCGAAGCGGGGAAGCTTTGACGTTTCATTAAATTATTAGAGAAAGAAGATGATTCGTTGTTCCATTCTCTACTCTAAATCCTTGTCTGAATTCAGTTTTCCTCCTCCCGCGCATAGTGCGTAAGCTTCTCACGCTTCATTAAATTATGAGAGAAAGAAAACGATTTGTTGTACCGTTCTCGATTCTTAATCATTGTCTGAATTCAGTTTCCATATCCCCTCCCGCGCAAAGCACGGAAGCTTTGACGTTTTATTAAATCATTAGAGAAAGAGTACCGTTCTCGACTCTTAATCCTTGTCTGAATTGAGCTCTCTCCCCCCCCCCCCTCTCCCGCGCTGAAGCTTTGACGTTTCATTAAATCATTAGAGAAAGAGTACCGTTCTGGACTCTTAATCCTTGTCTGAATTGAGTTCCCCCCCCCCCCTCTCCCGCGAGAAGCGCGGAAGCTTTGACGTTTCATTAAATTATTGGAGAAAGAAGACGATTCGTTGTACCGTTCTCGGTTGTTAATCTTTGTCTGAATTCGGTTTCCATACCCCCTCCCGCGCAAAGCGCGGAAGCTTTGACGTTTTATTAAATCATTAGAGAAAGAGTACCGTTCTGGACTCTTAATTGAGTTTCCCCCCCCCCTCTCTCGCGCGAAGCGCGGAAGCTTTGACGTTTCATTAAATTATTAGAGAAAGAAGACGATTCGTTGTACCGTTCTGAGTTGTCAATCATTGTCTGAATTCTGTTTCCCCCCTCCGCGCGAAGCGGGGAAGCTTTGACGTTTCATTAAATTATTAGAGAAAGAAGATGATTCGTTGTTCCATTCTCTACTCTAAATCCTTGTCTGAATTCAGTTTTCCTCCTCCCGCGCATAGTGCGTAAGCTTCTCACGCTTCATTAAATTATGAGAGAAAGAAGATGATTCGTTGTCCCATCCTCGATTCTTAATCCTTGTTTGAATTCATTTTTCCCCTTCCGCGCGAGGCGCGGAAGCTTTGACCTTTCATAGTTTAATGAAATTATTAGAGAAAGAAGATAATTCGTTGTTCCATTCCCGACTCTTAATCCTTCTCTGAATTCAGTTTCCCCCTCCAGCGCAAAGCGCAGAAGCTTAACGTTTCATTTAATTATTAGAGAAAGAAGATGATTTGTTGTACCGTTTTAGACTTGTCGAAAATGTTTCTTTGTCTGCTCCTTTTTTCGTCCTATGTCCTCTTACTGCCCCTACCGCCCCTAGCTACGCATGCTTTAAAGGGAAAATGAAACAATCATGATTGTGATAGCATACAATTAGGTCAGTAGAAATGAAAGGGGAAAAAAAGATCTATTTATGCACCAACCATGAAATAATCGCGACCGGGAGCGTCATATCTTAGTTTTGTGTTATCGGGCGAGGGCCGGGGCATAGCGACCAAGCGAGATTTTGCAATGTAGAATGCTGAAATTATGCATTCTAGAAAATCCTTTAGTCCAATATGTACGTTCTTTCCGCTACATGTATATTTCTTTCTAGCTATATATCTAAATTTCCGGGGGGACGTGTCCCTCTATCGGGCCCAGGATCGCCGCCGCTGTCTGTTATCACTACCAACATGAGTTCAAATATAAGCACAAGCGAGTTGGTATGAGCTGAATCCAAATGAAGGGCAAAATAAGAGTTGTGAAGCGGCCCTACCGTTAATTTAAAATTTGACTGTTTAGTATATAGCTTCTATTTGAAAGACATCCAAAATATTGTGCCCTTTTCAATTTTTTCAAAAAGCAGGGGCTGTTTGTAATGTTTAACTTTGAATCCGTGGCTCGAGATTTTATGCGGCCGGCCCGGCCCCCTCTATTCAATAACGTTTCCCAAGCCTTCTGGAATGACCCCAAATCTCCCGATTACAGTTTTTCCCTTATTCGTCGTTACTGTCACTTAGCGCCATTTTCTTGTCTTTCCCCCTTTCTCACCCGACTTTTCTCTTCCCCTTCCCACCCCCCCCCCCCCACCCACTCAGTGTTATCTAGGGTATGCGCATGTACAGTTGTTCCCTCTCTTAGTTTGAAAGCACCCCTTTATCTTCGGTGTGTAAAGTCAGTGCGGGCCGGATTTGTGTGTATTACGGGCCGGACTTTGTTGCGTGAAAAGTAACCCTTAATCGGAAATTTTGGGAACACAAAATCGGTCCCTCCGACCCCGGAGTGGGAGTGAGGTGGGGGGGGGGGATCTTCTTCTTCTTTTTATTTCTCTCTCTCTCTCTTCTTTCTTTTTTCTTCTCTTTTCTTTTCTCTTCTCCTTTCTTTTCTCTTTTCTCTTCTCCTTTTTTCTTCTCTTCTCTTTTCTTTTTTTTTCTCTTTTTTTTTTGCGCCGCCAATAGGGAGGGCTGCGGCCGTTTCGGCCCCCCCCTGGATCCGCCACTGATTTTTATACAATATCCACTCTGCTCGTGCTAATGCAATCGCTAATACACTTTCTACCTGACATGACAATTCTGCCTGCTATGACAAACTGCAGTAGGCCTACCCTGGTAGCTGCTGATCTCCGATAGAGCGGAGGAAGAAGAAGAAGAAGAAGAAGAAGCTTGTTCATTAGCTCATAGTTGTTGCCAGACCCTCTTGCATGCATGTACAATTCTCTGTGAATTGTATAAACTGCAAAAAGTGAAAATCAGAAAAGAACTCTTAACAAGTACTAGACTAGACCTAGACCCTAAGTATAGTTTACACATAACTTTGAATAAAAGGGTGCATTAATTGTTTGAGTTTTTGTTTGTTGAATTTGGTTTTAATGCAATTTTAGTAAGTTAGATCCCTGTTTCTTGTGGAACACAATTGATTCTTGTTCAAAATCCTTCTTATTTAAAGGTAATAGCCTACAAAGTTTTGGGAAATTTTGAAAATTGGGTAGTCTATAGTGATTATTTACAATTTTTATATATTTGGATGCCCCTGTGGATGTATATAATAAGCACAAGAAAATTTAGCCCCTGAAACACTTCTGCTTTTGAGAAAAATTGAACATAAAATTTTACTGGTGCTCCCAGTAAATTTTGATGAATTTCAAATAGCGCTTACGGCCGTACAAAGGTAGCTGCGACCATGAACATCTCAGTAGTTGTGATATATAATTTCCAAACGGGAAAGCTAATCGGTCGATTTGAGTCGAGAAACATTGTTTTATAGCTTAATTAATATCTTTACCTTGAGAGGGAGCTTTACAACATAAAGAGTTTATTATTTACAATGTCATAACTTTAGACTTGATTTCATATGCTTTCAATATGTTCATTTGAACCAAATTCATGAAGGTAATCTTATTTTGCAGGTGGATTTTGGGGTATAAAATTTTGCTGGAGGATAGAAACTTTCTTTAGAAAGGTTAGGGGTTTATTTTATTCTGGTAATATTAAGTTTGCTATGGGGGGGGGGGGGGGGGGGTCCATACCCCTATGCCCCTGGATCTGCCACTTCATGCTGCTAGTACCCTATTCATGTCTGACTTGATAATCCAAACAAGTGATGGGTCATGCATAGCTCACATAATTCCAGCGATGAGATGTGTCACTACTGATACAAACACAGTTGGGTTCATGCAAACAATAAATCTGGTATAATAAATCTGGCCTGTCCATGAGAGAGCATGACATTTGCATCCGACTGAGTGTGCTAATTATTTTTGTATAGATGTTGGCCTGTAGCTATAATTACCTGAATCATTAACACTCCGACAGATTTGATTTGTTTGAATTGCTGAATATCCTTTCATGATTTCTACAAAGAATATTAATACTGGGCTCGGTAGCAGAAGATTATTGTGGACTCCTTGTGAATTTATGTCTTTTCTATATATATTAACAAAATCTATTTGTGTTTATGTAGGAGATAAGACATTTTAGTGCAAGCCTGTGTGCCTATTCACCTATAAATGTTTTCTTTCATATGCATGGATTTCAGACTAAATATACCTGATGCATTTGCATGTTGTGGTTCATACATTTATAATTTATATTGATCTAGCAATCAATTAATAAATGGTTTCGAAGAAATGACATATTAAGGTCGGTTTCACTTTCTGTATGATTGTTTAAATTACAGATCATTCAAATTGTACATTTTTTTATCTTATCAAGAAAGTATGTGCTTCTGGTGTAGGTCTACATGTATATACTTCAACTTAACTTATTGTTATCAACTGGTATTCTTAAAATGTACAGACTAATCCATCATGGATCCGAGAGAATATTCTTATGAGAGAGTGTACTCGCTTCACTCCGGCACCACCTGATATCAAGGATAGAAAGTAAGTAAAAGGGCCCAGATTTCTTTTGAATTTTCTTTCTTCTTGCTGTTCCTGATATGTAATTAAGAATAAATGAATGTGAATATACCTTGAATGTTTAGGGGAAAAGAGAGAGAGAGAGAGGGGGAGGGGGGGGGGGCAGAGATTTACTTAGTCCATAGCCTGGACTATTTTCATGTGTCACGCGCCAAATCAGCTGAGAAAACAACACACCCACAACGCTCAACCCGTGGCAGTAGTCCTTGCCTCTTATTCTGTTCTTTTGGACGTTTTTATTTTTTTGGATTGCGTAATGAGTGGAGATACTACGCTGTGTGTGGGATGCTTGTGATTGAAAAATGAAAATTTATTAAAACTGATAGTATCTGGACTAATAGTTACCTCGAGGAAGTGTCACAGGGAAAGTGAAAGAGTTAGAGGCCGGAAGTTAGAGGTGAAAAGAGAAGGATACAATTTGTAATCAACCATGATTGTGTGAATATAAAGGAAAAAAAGGTATTAAACAATAGAGAAAAAGTGGACGAGGGGGGGGGGGTAAAAAAAGGGGAAATACAGTGTAGAAAATGAAATAAAGAGAGTTTATAAATACAAGATGAGAGAGAGATAGAAAGAGAGACTGAGACAGAGATGAGTAAGAGAGAGAGAGAGAGTCAGACAGAAGAGTAAGAGAGAGACAGACAGAAGAATAAGAGAGAGAGAGAGAATTCAGTGTCTTTAAAGTGGTTGTTTTTACCATCTTTAGGGGAGATGAGGACCCCAAGTGCCAGTGCAAAAAGAGGAAGAAGAAACATCAAGACAGATTTTTGGAGAACCCAGACCCGAGTGCCAAATGGAAAGTAGAAACCCACACCCACACAATTCCCACCAATGCCTATGGAAAGATAGAGTTCATAGGAGCTGTAGGAGGGGCTGTTGGACAGAAAGCCAGGAAGGTACTTCTAGTACTTGTTTTTTGTTTTGTTTTTGATTTGTTTTGATTTCTTTTTTTTCCTCTCTTTTTGAGGGGGTTATTTGTCTTGTTTTGTTTTGTTATTTATTGATGTTTGTTTTCACTTCTTTCAAATGGATGACCTGTAAAGGGATGATAGGAATCTTGATATCCATCATGTTACACATAGTGAGTCCCGGCCCCCCCCCCCCCCCCCCCCCATGGTACTACGGTGTTTGGTCCATGTTTGACAAAGTCTGAAAGGTGAAAATAGACATATACATCCCCAAACTAGTGCCTCTTTGATGGTCTGGATTCAGACAACAATTCCTCCTGTGCTACATGTACACCTAAGCTCTTTTCAGGATTGCAAGGAAGACTGACTTGGATTATTTGATTTATAATTCATATGAAAATGGTAAAGAATACATTCAAATAAATCCAGAGTGTGTTATTCATATAAATTGTGGTTATTATTTTTTATGTATAGACAAATTATTGTTGTTCGACATTATGACATTTGACACCTGTTATAGTAGGTTTATAGCATCTTGTGATTGGTTACTTCTGTTTTTCTTCCTAGTTCATTAGAGTGGATTATGACACCGCTCCATCCAAGCTTCTTGCACTCTTTAAAGATGTTTGGAAGCTAACCAAACCTAAACTCCTCATATCAGTGACTGGAGGAGCACAAAACTTTCCCCTCAATCACAGACTCAAAGATGTCTTTCGTAAAGGACTCATCAAAGCTGCTACCAGCACAAGTAAGTTCCCCTCTGCTTTTTGTTATATTGATGTTGTCATTATTTATTTATTTACATTTGTATGTATTGATGTATTGATTGATTTATTCATTGATTAATTAATTGATTTATTGATTCATTTTATTTTATTTCATTAATTTATTGAATTATTCATTTATTTATTCATTCATTGTTATTTATTTACTTGTTTGTTTGTTTATTTTCTTATTGTTATTTATTCATTAATTTATGTAACTTTATTTTTCATTACTATAATAATCTTATTTTATTTTTTTGAGGAGGGGGGGGGGGTTGGGTAATTCAGATTTATCCCTACTGTAGCAACTTTAGGAAATATGTTTATAACGAATAAAAAAAGGCTTTGGAATGTTATGATAGTGGCAAGGGCAGCTCAAGCTGTCATCCATAGCTGTACAAACAGTTGGGTCAATGTCATGTCGAAGGTCAATCTTATCCGACCTACACACTGCATTTCATTTCCCGATTTTTCCCCAATTTTTATTTTCTCCAGATTTTTTTTTCCGGATTTTTTTTTTCCAATTTGTTTTTACTCGAGGGGGGGGGGGGGGGGGGGGGGTGATTGACGAGAAAAAGAAAAATCTTTTTTTGTTAGTGCTCACTATCACCCCTGATAATATGAAAATATAGCATTTACAAAATATATGATATATAATATTGCATAAACTAATAACATGATGATTGTTTTCTTCTCTAGGTGCCTGGATCATTACGGGAGGCACCCATGCTGGTGTGATGAAGTATGTAGGAGATGCTGTGAGGGACCACAACCTTGCCAACGGACAGAACAATGTAGTCGCCATCGGTATAGCATCATGGGGAGTGATCACAAACAGGGCAAAGCTCATAGATGACAATGTAAGTAGCAGGCATCATATTTTCCAATTTTAAATACAATTTTCCAGATTTAAATCCAATTCTTAGATCTTCAGATATTTTTAAAATCTATTTTGCGTTGTTTTGCTTTAAAAAAAAGCAAAAAAAAAGCATGCGTGCACATGTTGTACACAACCTAACTAAGATGATAGTCTTACATTATGTTATCTCTCTGTCTGTTATGTCTCTCCTTTTATTTTTTTATTTTTTGATAGGTAATAAATTATAATTCGTTTTATTTTTTTAATTCAATCACTCACTTTCTCTTTATATTTGGTGCCCAATCATTGTAAGTACATTAATCTGTATAAATTGATACCCAATGGCATATACCAGTGGAAAGTGGCAAAGGTTGGTATTAGTTTTGATATAGTCATGGCTTAAAGGTTATATATCGTTTTTTTTAACTGTGACTCAAAACCAACCCAAAGTGTTCTACATTAAACATTATTGAAACAGTCTGAAACAATAAAATACCATGCCCTTAACAGTCTTGACTGGTTGTGTGTTGTCCATTTTTAATTGGTTGCAAATGACTACCGGTATCCATAACTACAGTGTATTTTTATGCATTATAATCACCGATGAGCAGTCTCGGTACCTGCATGTACAATGGAAGAGAATATCACTAGACACACTCTTCAATTTGAATACATGTATCGGAGAGAGAAACATCATTGTTTAATACTTCCTTGTACTTAATTACCGGTTAGCCATTATCAACAGGAAATACTTGATACGTTAGCATCTTTGAAACTATTTTGTGAAATTTATTTTAAAAGTCATAAAATGTTGATTCAAATCATTCGTTTTTTCTAATATCAAGGAGATTTCATGTTCTTGATTGATGTGAATTTATGAAAAGTCTAATTTACTTAAATTTGTTTTATTTTGAGGCTACAAATTACTCTCCATAATGTTGAAGCCAAACTTAGATTTACGCTCTACTTAAGATCTTTGCGAAACACCCCCCTGATTTATCATACATATTTGATAACAGAAATCCCTGAACGAAAGGCAACCCTAGATTTTGCAGTCAAGAGTTTTCCATGATGGAAAAAAAATGAATACAAATACAACTAGACATGTAATACTTGTTTGGAACAAGTATAGGTGGGCTGGTGAACTCAAATTTGAGACTAAATAGAGCAAAAATAAGCGAGATACTGCTAAAAAACAATGTCATGTAGATTCATGATGTGAACGAAATTAACCTTCCTTAGGCAAAACACGCAAATTAAGAAATTTCAGATATGTGCCATTAAATCGTAATTTTCACTATGATGACGTCATCAAAATAAAACATAATGGTAACTGAGCTTGTAGAGAATTGTCTTAGCTACAACATATCTAAATTTGGAAGAAAATCGATCAATATTTACAGAGATACAATCAATTTTACATAAATATGCTGACGTCATGATATGCAAATTCGTATTTTGAGTTCCAAGGCCATTATAATGATGTCAGGATACACTTAATGGCCAAATGAGACATGAAATCATATCTCTGACTCATACTCTATCTAAATATGAAAAAAATTGAAGGTCACGGTTCATTCCAAAGAGCTATAATGGATTTTGTATAGGCATGTTTTTGCCTATATATGCTATGTATGAAAAGAGCTCGCGCGCACCGACATTTATCTTGAATTGACGCTCATCTTGTTATTAATGGTCATAAAGTAATAAACATGGTATCAAATTCCTTGTAAAATATGAGAAATATCATGAAAGAAAAAAAAATGGCGATTCTATGTTTTGTAATGGTTACGCGCGTGTGCGCGATTCTTTATAAACTGCTTAAAATGACCTGAAACGTATGCAAAATAAATTTGAGACGATTTTGAGCATTTAAAATTTTTGCGCGCGGACGTACGCGCAGGCGCGCGTTTTTTTATCTGAAATTGACCGGACTGATATTGACCTTGATCATGATAAATATGAATGAGAAATATCTTTTGGTTAAGAAGATATGATCATGAGTTGATTTTCAGATAATTTCACAAAATGGCGCCTAGATGACGTCATCAGTCAAGGTCAAGGTTGATCCAGGCTAGAGAGCAAGGAACCTTGTTTTTTTATATATACAATGTTTTTTGATGGTTTCTTATCAATTCGAGGGTGCTGATTCCAAATCCAATGAGTGCCAGACGCGAAACCTTGAGCATTTTTCGTAAAACGCGAAAATTCAAAATGGCCGCCAAAATGGCCGCCAAATCATGAAAACGCTCATTATATGGCCATTTAAAAGGTTATTTGATGTTTTCTTGTCAAATCGAGGGTGCTGAATCCGAATCCGATGAGTGCCAGACGCGAAACCTTGAGAATTTCTCGTAAAATGCGAAAAATTCAAAATGGCCGCCAAATCATAAAAAAGCTTATTATATGGCCATTTAAAAGATTATTTGATGTTTTCTTGTCAATTCGAGGGTGCTGAATCCAAATCCGATGAGTGCCAGACGCGAAACCTTGAGCATTTTTCGTAAAACGCGAAAAATTCAAAATGGCCGCCAAAATCATGAAAACACTTATTCTATGTCCATTTAAAAGGTTATTTGATGTTTTCTTGTCAATTCGAGGGTGCTGAATCCGAATCCGATGAGTGCCAGACGCGAAACCTTGAGCATTTTGTTCAAAATACGATTATTATTTTTGTAGTCGATACCGGTATAGTGAACCCAGCAGGCTAGCTAGAAAACAACAACGTTTACTTTGTGTAATGGGAAAGTTATATACACGTATAAATAAAATAATGAATAAATGAGCATATAGATGATATAGATATTCATTGTAAACCATATCTTTGTCCATTATAGACAATCATTTACCATAATAATATTGAACTCTTTCTAGTCTTACCTCCATATATATAGTAGCAGTGCCGAACGATGTCAAATATTATTAGTCTTCACAACTGCTAATGTCACTGTCACTGTCACTGTTACTCTCTTCTGATGTCTTGTTCATTGGATTTTGGCAGCGGACATCGCCCTTACAGCGGCAGAATTCCGAGCATGCCAACGACGATTTGGTGCAGCTGCATTGGGCTGTTCTGCAGTCGCTCTTACACCCACACTTAATGATATTGAGGACTTCTTCCGGTGCGACTGGCTGATCATTTTCGAGATAGACTGGTTGAATCATAGAAGACTTCATCCTCCATCCATTCTTCAATGGGTCTAGGGCTGGGGGTACTGGCTTGCCAGCAGCCACCCACAAGGCTACTTGATAATGGGCACGCTGGCAATGTGGCCGAAAAGCGGCCATAGTTGGTGGAAGACTCATTAATTTGGGAGGTACTAGGCGCTTGCCACCAGCCTTCCTTGTGAAAATGTTTCTTCGCATTGTGTCTAGAGAGTCATTTGATTCTTCTCGGTACAGGGATGCCACGTATCTCAAGCAGGATTCTATTACTTCATCGAAAGGCGTTTCAATATTACCAAGGAGTAGATCGAGAATCAGGATAGGACTCCAAATTCTTGAGTGCAGACGCCTTTCCTACTCCATAGAAACAGGAAACAGTATCGCATCCAGTCAATGCATGGGCTCCAAGTAGATTGGGCATGATCTTTGTGTGTTTCTTGATGACCTCATTGACATCTATGACTTTTCGAGTGCGAGACGTTGATTCCATTACCACCTTTGTTGTGTGTGGTATACCATTGGTTAGGAAATGTAGATGGTGTGCAAGAATGACCAGAACATCTGTGTCATCGCACACAACTTTGATAGGTGAATGACCCTCCTTGGCCTCCTTTATCATGTGGTAGACCATTATTACATCTGCCTCTTCGTGTTTCACCTCTTCTTCAAGTGCACCAACACCAACAGCAATTGGATGCGGATCAGGTCCAGTTACGATCAACCGTTTGCCCTCTGGTACTTGCATGGAACACAACTGATCTACGATCATCTTGATGACTTGTTGCTTGTTTGCAGTTACATTTAGGATGACGTTCTGCTTTGGCAGTGGTGACTCACTGTTCAGCTTGTATACACGGCTGCAACCTTTTGCACGTGCTGTTCGGCAACAGGACTTGATGCTGCTCTCGTAGTATCTGTCAAAAACCACATGAAGAACTGGACAACTGTCTGCATATTTCATGAACGTTGCTACAGCAACATCTACAAAGGTACACACCTTTGCTGGAGACGCAGGCCAAGGAACGGTCCAAAGAAGAGCACATCCATCAAGAATGATAACATCTGGCACCTCTGCACTTCGTTGACTACACTCAACCTTGATCCTTGACTTCAAGACGGACTTACTTGTGGAACGTGCATCACCATTCTTGTCGAACAGTGCGGGTGGATAGGGAGCCAATTCATAGGAGAATAAGGTTTTGGTTGAAATCGCTTCCCTTGATGATGCCATGATCCCGATTACCCGGGCGTAGATCATCTCTGTATTGGTAACTATAGATACCTCACCTCTTGATGACATATCAGAAGCCTTTGCCATTCCTTTGACTCTCCTCTTTATTGTGTCATGGAACCCCTTCGGCAACTTTCTTTCGTATTTGTTCATCTGATCAGTTCCAATCTTGATTGCATCATCGGCATTTACTGCTGGATCATCCACAACCTGTCCAGTGTAGATGTTCACCAGGCTTGAAGGAGGATGCTTCTCACTGTCAAATACATCTATACATGTCGATAGCGCCTCTCGAATTCCCTTTCTGTCAGCCGCATCTGATTTGATTCTTTTGAGACTCTCTTCTTTGTGACAAGTGACAACTTTCTGATCTTCCCCTTCTTGCATGGATTCCAAGTCATTCTTCAGTTGTCCAAAGAGGCTGAGAGACAAAGCCCAGATAGCAAGGGTAGACTCGTTCAAAGTGGATCCGATGATGCCAGAAGGTCCCTTTCCATAGCGCATGTACGTCGTTTCAATGTACATATCCGACCAGATGCCGTTCCAAATGCCATCCTGATGGTGCATCACATGTTCTCCATCTAAGAACTGCTTCAGTAATGCTG